ATGTGTAGACAGACAGATGTCTCTTGAAAGCACCACCCTTCTCCAAACTGTATCTGAATTAAAGGACCAGACTCATACTCCCACAGCCCTTGCCACAGGGGCATCTCCCTACCACAGAGAAGTTCCCCAGAAGAAGTCTTCCTCACTTCTTCCTTCACCTTCCTGCCCACTGCTGTGGGCTGGGAACTGCAATGTAGACATACAGCTAGCACACGCCACTGGCTGCCTCAGGAAGCAGGAAAATAGTCTTCCAAGAAGCCCCAGCCAGCTCTCCTGGGATCAGAGGGGTTCCAAGCTGGCTCCCACACAGTCTGTAACTGCTAAGCCAAACCATTGTGACCTGAAGCTAATTGTGTTGCTGCTTCAGTCCTGGGCACCAGGAGGTAGGGGTGAGAACCTGGGAAGGGGAAGCCATGCTCTAGGGTGCTCTCCAGCCTGACATAGCTGCTTGGTCACAGATTTCCAGCCAGGCTCTGCAATTTGGAGTTTGTACTCCAGCCTGTGGAGCCCAGTCTGTTCAACCCCTCCCCGGCTTGGGAGCCAAATCTGCCTCTTCCAAAGATGCAGAAGGGAGGAAATAGTAACACCCAGGTCAAGTCAGGACCCTCGATCTGCTCTGAAGGACACGCAGCGCTTCCTTTTGCAGTTGTCGGGCACAGGGATTGATGGGTGACCGGGAGGAGGCATGCGGGCACTGGGGAGAAAGGCTGCCTGGGAAGTGAGACAGGCAGGCGATCCTGAGGCTTTGCTGTACCCTCAAGTTTTAATGACACATTAGAGGTCTAGCCAGGTAACCTATCCAGAGATACCCTTACCCTGGGAGAACAGCAGCTGTGTTTCTTTTAAGTGCCTTCCTAAGAAACACAAGGCTAAACTGAGAAATTTACTTCCAGTAAATAAACCTACAGATTTAAGAGTAGCAAAGAGCAAAGAAACTTCCCTGCTCTAGGCTCAGCCCTCCTGTGCAGTCAAGCTCAGAGCATCAAACGGGCATCTAAACACAGATTCTCACACCAAAATTCAGACACTGATCAATCACTGATTTATTTCAGGTGACCTGACATGCATGTCATCCTGCAGTTCCCCAGAAGTGCACAGGGACTTGGATGTGTTCAGCCAGTCTCATATCTTCAGCAAGTGACTCACATGGTTGTGTCTCACCTCACATGGCCCTCCTCCTCTCCCAACCACCAATTCCAATCTCAATCCTCAGGATGCCGTCACCCCACATGTTGGTCCAAGTGCCCCAAGAGACATGTCCCCAAGCCTCATAGCTGCCATGGGGCTGAGAGAGTAAGGAGCTTGTTACACAGCACACTTACCAGCTATATTGCCATTGCTTACACATCACACAAGGTCATCCCCCATATCCAAGAAAACATACTTTTGAAGCAAGCCAAGAGTACTACATCCATCCAAAGGTTGTGTGGGGTTGGACCAAATGTCAGTCCCAGGAGTGACTTTCTTCAACCTGCTTAACCTTGCTGTGTTCCGCTGTCCTAGGGCAGGGCTGGATCCAGCTCATGGACATATGCAGTAGAGAGAGGCCTCCCCTCTGCTTGTTTTCCACTTGCTATCCATTATTCACCTTTATAACCACGATTTCATGATGCTTCCTATTTTTGGCAGCTTCAAGCTAGACACAGTCAGACACACAAAACCTCCCGCATCTACCACTGCGGTCTAAGGGAGGGACTGGATGTACTGGTTTGGGTTGGCCACTGTAGCCCAGGAGGACACTGAGCGCAGCTGTCAGCCCGCTCCCGGGATCAACTTTGGTTAGCAGGACTGTAGGCTCTTACTGACCCTTCTGTCACCTCTCCCCTTTCCCTCCCTTCACATTTCTGATCAGACAGTTACCCAGGTTCTTCTGGGATTGTGCTGAGTCAGCTACACACATATTCTTCATGAGCACAAGGAAATTCATGATCTCCAGGCTCTTAGAGGTGTTGAGTAGATCAAGAAAAAGAAAGACCATTGGAGGGACTCCACAGAAGGGAGGTGGCCCACTTACCTAAAATGGCTGGGCAGCACTCCTTCGAAGCTCACGATTGACTGAGCTCTGATTAATGCCTGTTTACCAAACTTCTGGCATTTCTCAGTTCATGTTACCTAGGTAAGAGCATAGGGATAGAAAACGTCCCTCTATCCAAGCATCCCACCCACCTTCAACATGTTCAAAAGCAAATACCTGGAGAAGAGTATAAAAAAAGACAGTGTAAGCATATAGCAATACTTCCCCAAATAGTTTCCCAGTGTCTGACTCATTACATTTCATGGACTTTCAGAGCCAAAGGTGAGATCTTTGTCCTTATTAGCTTTTGTCTTCCATGAACCTATCCAGTCCCCCTCTCATGACTTGTACTGTCATGTAAACTTCCTAGCATCCACAACATCCCACCGTAAGGATTTTAACAGATTAAAAGGAATGGTATGCTGTGCAGTGTGCAATCTTTTTGGGTCTGCCACCTCTTAGCTTTTTTTGATTACCCCTGGAAGAAATGGTGAACAACCGATCCCTATCCGTGCCATTCATGATTTCATAGATGTTGACCTTACCTACCACTTACCTCTCTGTAGTAATCTGGGCAGTGTTTCAATCTATATGCAATAGCAAGAAGAGTGGTTGTAATTGTGTGATGAAAGGAAGGATGTTTATACAGAAATATTCCTGACTACAGAGATAAAACATGGAGAGACAGCCAGTAAGACTCTCATGCAATGCCTTGTTTTGACAGATGAGTCTTCTCACTCCATTTTATTATGTGAGGGCTTCATGAAAATACCCCAGGTTCCTCCAGTGTTCCAACACACCTGCATATGGCCTGCATCTGCAGATTGATTGAACGTTCTCCCTCACATCTGTCACCCTGCCTTGCAGACCTAAGCACCAGGAGACAGGCAAACGGCTGCTGGCCCACAGAGTTCCCCTCTGCCAGATAAACAGCGTGACACTGAAGTACATCCCCAAGAATCAGTTTTGGAGGAAGGATGAGTCATCTGTTGTTGGCAAGTTCTGTGCAGCCT